ATTATCTTTGTAATAAAATATTTGACGACTTGCATAGAATGCTAAGTCTGGTTACCATGTGATCAAATGGCCTTGAACCGTCTTGATTATGATTACTGATTGTAAAGTTTAGGGTGAGGACATCATGTGAAAAGTTGGAAATAGACCTTTAAATAGTTATTGCTTCTTTCTTTGACTGTCGCTGATCTGAGCAGGTATTGGGCAGGAATGTTCTCCAGAGAAATCAAACCCTGGAACAGTGATTGCCATTGAACACCTTCCTCAAGGTCCTTTCTGATTTGGAAAGCATATGGAGGTTATAAAAGGGCTTTCCTCTGTCAGAACTCTGAGCATCTTTTGATTGTGATTGTTCTTTCATGCCTCTGATCTTCAACTAGACTGTACTTCCATAAAGGAAGAAAGCACACCTGTGCTTACTACTGTATTCCTACTGTGCAGCACTGTCTAGGTGCGTCATAGATGCTCAGATATTTGCTCAACTGAATTGAGCATGCTTTTCTGTAATGGTATTAGTCCTGCTCTTCTTGGAGACTGAGCATCGTAAAGCTCAGTAAATGACCCTTCATCTTTTTTGTATTGTCCTACTTACTATTTTCTTCACATGAGGAGAACATCATTCAAATAGTGTAGCTAACTTTTTGAGTTAGTGAGGAGACTTCTGAGTTATATGCAATTTAGTTGTCTAATTTCTGTGGCACTAGAATAATTGCACAATGTTTATAAAACATTGTATTACTATGTGACATTAACCAAAAGAGAGTTGAATCTTTACATCTTGCTGTTTTTGTTAATTTCTGCCTGATTAAGAGAATTAAAACTTAATTTTCTTGGAATAATGGACTCTTATATTGCAGAGCTTCAGCATTAGAGTTTATAAGTAAGTCAGACATTTGTTATTCTTAAGAGCTCAAGACTCTAGAGTGATACGTTTATAATTATACAGTATTCATATAATACTGTACTGTTATATTTAATATAGCTGTTCATAAATGAAGTTTAATAAACTCTGATTGCTTGACTAATGCATAATTTTATTGGTTTTTCCAAAGTTAATTTTAATGAAAATGTATGTACACTATACTTATTGATGTAACGTGCCCTTCTTGTAATGACCATTATCATTAGATTTGCATAATGCAAACTTACTAAAATGTTAGTGCTTTTAATTCAAGGATGTGACTCTAATAAAGGTTTTGGGAATTAGTTTTATTTTTTTTTATTAACTCTATGGTAGCTCTATAATATTTACCTATGAGTTAAAACCATAGTGTCTACTTGTGTGTGGTAAGAGAAACATGCACATTCATATGTAAATTAAGATAAAATTAGGGATGTACATACATTGTAAATTATATTCACTCATGGGTGTTATAATGAAAATATATTTTAATTAAGCCATTTTCTTTTTTTTTAACTTCTTTTTAAATTGTTATTATCATTTTATGATACAATTCCATAGGCCCTGGGTTTTCCCTTACCCTGTCCCCAAGTCCCCTCTCCCTCCACTGAGTTCCCCTGTATTATTACTATAGTATAGTTCTTCAGATATAGTCATATGTCCATCATTGCAGGCATGGACAATGGCAGAGTCCAGCATCCTATTGTCAAGATATAGTTAACAGTTTCATTGTGATTCTATCCTTGGTGTGGAAGTAGAGATGCATCCTGCATTGTATCCTCATATCTGGATATGATATTCTCCATTTCACAGTTACTATACCATCCTCTTAAATGAAAAGCCACAATACAAAATTAACAATAGAAAGAAAAATAGAAATTTACAATGCCATGAATTTAAATAACATGCTACTAGATATGTATTTTAAAGGACAGATCACATAAAAAGGACCATTTTTTAATCTTGTAAAAATCAAATCTTTACTATGCTCTGAACTTTTTAATTTTTGGTGTTGTTTTTGTTGTTATTCCTGAGTTCTTTTATACTTTTTTTTTGGTAAATTTAAAGAGACAATTGAGTGACAGGAATAATTTATACTCTATTATACATCATTCACTTGTAACTTACACAATTATTTTTATACATTTTAATATACAATGGCCAAACTTACTCATTCTGAAACAAGTATCTGCTATATAGTTTTCCATTTTAGTACATCACATTTGTCTCTTTTTCTTGAATACTCATAGAATTGTAAAGTATGCTACTGAGTTTATAAACATGATACTTATGAAAGCAGAGTTTTTTTAAACTGTAGATCAGTAAGGCCTAGTAGGCCATTGTAGTGGCTTTGATTTGCATTGGAAACAAAAGTAGCTATTGGAGATTTCAGAGCTGACTTCGGTGTTCACAGTATCATTTTATCTACTGTGCTTGGAATGTATTTTAAGGGAACAAAGATCGAAGCAGGGAGACTGGAAACAGGTTAGATGGGCTTACTATGAAAAAATTACATAGTAGTTGGTGCTGCTTTGAGTCAGACACTTCTGTAGAAAGATTACTCTAGACTGAAATAGTTACTGGGATTTTGAGAATCAAGGAGAAAAAAGAGAACGGGTAACAGAAATATTAGATCTAGACAAATGGAGTGTTGGTGATCCCATTAACATTCATGTTACCCTCTTAATTGTAAAATGAGAAGCTTTAACCAAATTATCTGATTCCATACAATACTAATTGTCTCTAACTCTGCTGTGTAGTTTAACATGAACCAAAAGTATATTAATTCCAAGGAAGTTAGTTGTTGGGAGTAGATTGGAAGAAGCAAGTCACTTTTCATAGTAGCATTTGAAAATATTGCTAACAATTCTTTTTTCATTGTGTCTGTCTCCATGATTAAATCGTCAACATGGATTAAATTGGCATACAGATTTGAAGTGCTTCTGCCATAATGCTAACTTGGGGAAGTTGACTAAAGCAAGTAATAGTTTCCCTTAATTGATGTTCTTGCCTTGGAGATACAGATTGTTTGCAATTTTGAGTTTATAACCCCAAAAGGATAAGATGAAAAGGAAAGAGGAGCTGCTTGGAGAATTGTATAATCTGTAAATACTAGGTGGACAGGATTATGCTCATATGGTACCAGGGTTAGGTGAGATACTTCTAATAGTTTACTATTTCTTGCTCTAATTTTATGTTACAGGAAATCATGAAGCTTCTTCACTGTGTGTAAAGCACCTTTTCTAACCTATTGAAAAAATCATTTATTATTAAGATTTACTTATTTTTATTGGAAAGGCAGATACACAGAGAGGAGGAGAGACAGAGGAAGACCTTCCATCTGTTGATTCACTCCCCAAGTGACTACAACGGCTGGAACTGTGCCAATCCAAAGCCAGGAGCTAGGAGCTTTTTCTGGTCTCTGGGGTAGGTGCAGGATCCCAAAGCTTTGGGCCGGCCTCGACTGCTTTCCCAGGCCGCAGGCAGGGAGCTGAATGGGAAGTGGGGCTGCCGGGGTTAGAACTGGTGTTCATATGGGATCTTGGTGCGTTCAAGGCGAGGGCTTCAGCTGTTAGGGCACTGCGCCAGGACTGAAAAAAATTTTTCAAAAGTACCTGGCAGACTTCTAGAGTGAATTCAACTTTCTTAAAGTGGTTTCAATTTTGATATAAATAATCTCTATTTTTTTTCTTAGGAAAGATTGATAGAGGTTTCTGTCAGCAGGATGTGATGGAGACATAGCACAAAGATTAGAAGTTTAGAATTGTAACAGAATTAATGGATTAAAAGTAGAACAGTTATATATATATATATATATATACACACACACACACACACACACATACAAGGAAGGGTGATTTTTAACAACACTGCAGTAAAACCTGTTTTTGGAGTTCGTGGGATCAAGGTATTCTCACTTAAAACTCACAATGAAATCTTCCTTCAGAGAAAAGACTACTTTCCTTAGTAAAAAGAGATATGAGCATGCATGGCCAAGTTGCTTCAAGTTATTCATCTTCTGCTCTTAGAAGTAAATGTATGCAAAGTGGCAAAAGAGTTCAACTCAGTTCCCCAAACACAATTTAAAAATGTCTCATTCTTTCCTAATCACATCTTAATTGGCATTTAAAGGTACAATTATGTGGTATATAATTGACTTGCTGGTCATCAGTGGGCCGCATGTATAGTGATGCTCCCATGTGATTATATTGCCCTAGGGATGTGGAATCTCAGTTTGTGTAATTGTATACTCTATGATGTTCACACAATAGTACTGTTGCTTAACAACCATTTCAGAATATATCCTCATTGCTAAATATTGTTAAATCAAAATTATTACACAGGACCATATTTATAGCATAAGAACTGCTCTTAGCAATCATAAGTTACTTGTGGTATTTTCTGAATCATGAAATTTGGATAAATTGTTAAGTATTTCTTTAGTGTTGTACTTTTGTATGCTTTAGTGCTGCATATGTTATATTTTTTATAAACCATTGTATTTTATGAACTAGGATATACTATTTCTAGTCATTCTTAGTATTAGGTGTTGAAAACCACATGGAAGACAGAGGTGTTTGAGAAATAGTGTATATTAGCAGAATCATTAGGTTCAACTTTATAGTATGTATTAAGATATCTGAATATTCATCAATTTGTTTCACTGAATACAGTTCATTAGTATTTAATGTGACTTTTTTCTATAGTACATGTTTTTAATTGAGATATCTTGAAAACCTGAGTATTCCTTATGGAACTTTGAAAAAATTTCAAGGGCATATGATTTTGATATATCTTTTGTTACATTCTTGCACTGTGGTGTTGATGTTGGATTCAGATCTGAATTTGGGGACTTGGGAAATACATTTAAAAAAAAAAGCCCTCCACCAATTTTCTATTTTTAATTTTTAAAACAGTTATGTGTCATTTATTTTGTAAATTATATATTATGGGTATGTTTAAATTTTATTTATTTTTTTTACTGGTTTAAGTTTGTAAAATAAAACATAAAAGTCCTTCAGTTATTTTCTTGTTTGAACTATGATTTTCTCTTATCTGACTAGTATTTCTTCTTTTTGTTTATTTCCTTTGATTTTAATAGAACATTCAAATAAAAACTTTGGCAGATGATGTGGTAAGGTGGTCTTAGCACAATATTATTTCTTATGCATGCTGACTTTTTTATTAACATGGGTGGACATTAAAGCATCAACATATGTATGATTTAAAAATCTGGATATTTACAAAGTATAATACAATTTTTAATATTGTGACTCTTTCTGAATATTAATAAAACATTGTGTGAGAGCTCAACATTTTTTTTATCTTCATCACAAGCATTTAAATTAAATGTTTTTAAGATCTCTATGTAAATCTAGACTCTGGAAAATAGATTTTTTCCATTTTTTGATGGCCAAATAAATTGATTGAACATATCTAATATTAATATCAGAGGAAATTCATTTCAAATAAAAAGGAAATCAAGTTCATTGTGTTAGAGATATTCTATTTAAAAAAACTAAATATTTTCATTCTGAGTCTATCATAATTGCTAAAACATTTTGGGCTCAAAAATTTTTAAATGTATTTTGGAGGTAGATACTTTATATAAAGATATATATTTTTATTTGAAAGGCAGATTTTTACAGAGAGAAAGAAAGAGGTCTTCCATCTGTTGGTTCACTTTTCAAATGGCTGCAATTGCTAGAGCTGAACCAATCTGAAACCAGGAGACTGGATCTTCCTGTGGGTCTCCCATGTGGGTCTTCCATGTGAGTGCAGGGTCCCAAGGCTTTGGGCTGCCCTGTACTGCTTTCCCAGGCCACAAGCAGGGAGCTGGATGGGAAGTGGAGCAGCCAGAACATGATCCGGTGCCTTTATGGAGTGCCATTGCTACAGGCACAGGGTTAGCCTAAAATGCCATAACATGGGCCCCTGGCTCCAAATTATGACTATGTTCTCTTATCTCTATACTTGTAAGTGATAATTAAAACAATGTAAGTTTTTTGTGTGAAATTACCTGTTCACAAATAGTGTAAAATATTTAGTGCTCTAACAAGGCAAAAACCTGTTGCTTAACTTCATTTTCCTAGCAAGACATAGGTGATTGTAGAGGTGAAAATAAAGAATATTATGGAGGATCAATAAATACTTAGTAAAAAAGCTACTCACTACAAAAATAAATATTAAGTAATATGGACAGAAAGAGTTATGTCAATTTAATTGCAAGTTGCACATTTAAATGCTTTCATGTCCACCATATCGTTTCATAAACTTTGAATGATATATACATATACTCAGCTTATTTAGGATTACAATTTTTCCTTGGTTGTTTGAAAGTAGACTACATATCTAAACCAACTTAATTTCCCTCAAAGAATTTATTAAAAGGAGAAATTTGAAAATATTTTTCAGAATTGCTTGAAGGAATAAATCTTAAGTTAATGTATAGACTGAGAAAAGAGCCAGAGGCTCATGAATTTAGATGCATTTCTTTTTCTGTGAAATGAAGGAGTTGGTTTAGGTGATTATTTCAGTTTTTTTCTCAGTGCTAGAGTATTCTGATTTATATAATCTCTTTGTAAACAACCATGTACTCAAATCATTTTTGTAATCCGAAATAAGCTGCTTAAGATTGCTAACATTTCTTTCGAAGTGTATGTTTTAGTTGAAAAAAAAATGTTCTTTGAATCAATAAAAGATATGTTTCCTCAGTGGAAGTCAACGAACTTTCACATAAGCTCTGGTAATAACGTCTGTGGTGTTTTTATGTGGTTAAATAATTTATAAGGACTTTGACAGTGAGGGTGCATTGTCCTCATATCTAACATGTCTGCTTATGTAATGTGAGCTGAGGGGGTGCATGTGCTTCCTAACAGAAATCAGAATAAAACTGAGCTACTTTCAGTTTTATGCATATTACTAATTTTTGATTTCTGATGTCTTGTGTTTACATGCAGCTGAATTCATTAACTCACTTTATGTGAAATACCCAGCAAATTACTAGAGATTGTACATGTAGTCAATGGTTCAAAGTCAATATCCAGTAAATAACAAGTTTTTTATAGCAATAAGATATTTATATTTATGTTGCATTTATAGTATACAGGAATTCTTTTTTTTATGTTTTCCTTCCATAATGGTCCCATTTTTTAAGGAAGAAAAAGTTAAGGAAAATAATTATAGGATAAACAGCAGCATAATAATGGCAACTGATGATGGTAAACATATCTATTTAAATGTTACAGTAAGCCTGTGGTATAAAGAATTTTATCCCTCTCCCCCCCCCCCCCCGGTTTTAAAGACAAGGACATAGTTATGGATCAAGTTTCTTGCTTAGAGCTATGTAACTATTTGCTTGGCAAAGCCTATATTCAAATCAGGCTATCTGACTTGCATTGACAAATAATCAATATATACTTGTCACAATTTTTGCCACTTTGAGAAAGAGAAAAATTATCATAATTTTATCCTAGAATTGGATGTATCAATAAACTGTTCCTGTTTTGTTACTCTTTTTTTTTCTAAAGATTTGTTTTATTTTTATTGGAAAGGTAGATATACAATGAGAAGGAGATACAGGGAGAAACATTTTCTGTCTGCTGGTTCACTCTCCAAGTGACCACAATAGTTGGAGCTGAGCTGATCAGAAGTCAGGAGCTTCTTCCTGGTCTCCTGGCCAGGTGCAGGGTCCCAGGGCTTTGGAGGGCTATTCTTACTGCCTTACCAGGCCACAAACAGGGAGATGAAAGGGAAGTGGAGCAGCTGGGACAGGGACACGCCGATGGACATAGGGGATCCTGGTGGTTGTGAGGCGAGGACTTCAGCCACTAGGATACTGCGAAAGGCCCTGTTACTTTTTTTTTTTTTTTAAATGTTCTAATGTTTCTATTAAAAACACGTGCAACTGGCAACAATCATAGAACTTTGAACCAATATGTTTTTCACCTACTTTGCAAAACAGACATGACAAGCATTTTACTTTTGAGAAAGATTTCCCATCTCCGCACATCTGAGGTTGAAGAGTTGCTTCATGGCCTCATCACGGTACAATCTCTAACTGGAGCTTGTTGCTGAGAGTAATATCCTGTCAAGAGACCGTAATGATGTATATTATAAGTGCCATTTTTATGTTCTAATTCTTCATTCTTCACCTTTGTGGTTTTGATGTTTTTCTTAGCTTTTTTTTTTTTTTATGTTTGCAGCGTGACCGAATCACGAGTTTTAGAAAATCTACTGTCAAAAAAGAAAAGCTCCTTATTCAACATCCTATTGATTCTCAAGTTCCAATGAGTGAATTTCCAGCAGCTCAGCCATTGTATGATGAAAGATCTTTAAATCTGTCAGAAAAGGAAGTACTGGATCTCTTTGAAAAAATGATGGTAAGTTAGATCCCCTGATTTTGCTGTAATTTTCAAAGGTGCATTCCTGGAATATTACCAGAGTCAGTCCATTTATTCAGACTGTAAGTATATCATTTAAGGAAGAGAACAGAAACTTGGTATATACGTTGTTTTTTTTTAAGATTTATTTATTTATTTTAAATTATTTATTAGTATAAGCATGATAGGTTTTATATACTATATAGATAGAATTCTGATAACAGCATTTTTCTCTTTCTCCCTCTCCCTGCATTCCTCAATTATTCTTTCTTGTTTTTATTTTTGTATTTTACAAAAATATCATTTCAATCCATTCTGTAATCTCAGGCTTAATGAAAGGCAGAGTTATGGGGTCAGGAGCGTTGGAAGGAGAAGGAGAGAGAATGAGAAAAAAAGAGAGCTTGACCTTATATCCACTGATCCACTCCCCAAATGGCTGCTAGGAGAGGGCTAAGCCCAAGCCCAAGCCAGGAGCTTCATCTAGGACTCATGTATAGGTTGCAGGGGTCAAACCATTTGTGCCATCTTTCACTGCTTTCCTATGGCATCAGGACAGAGCTGGATCCAACGTGGAGCAATTGGGACACAAACTGACTGCATATGGATTGTTGTCATCTCAGATGGCAGCTTTACACACACAATACCACAATGTCAGCCCCAATATATAGAATTGTTTTCATTAAGTGTCTGAGTTTAGAAGTCCTTACTGCTTTGTATCTTCTACCATGAGCTTTTCAGAGCAGAGAACAGTATTACTTACTCTTTTCTTGAGTAGTTAGTGTTATTTGGCACCCTGAATCAGTTTTTCAATTAACTGATTTAAGTACCCATTTCTATAAAGCAAAATTGGCTCAAGTCCACTGTTCAGAAAGCACAGAGTCTCTTGTTGAATAATGAAATGAAGTTTCAAGTGCAGAGGCTAAGACACATTACCGGGAACAGAGAAATGATTTTGCTTAAATTTTTTCTATTAGAATTTTGTATACATTTTCTAACATATTTTGTATGCTTTTTATTTGTGCTCCAAATCATATCTTATGTTGGATAATGAATATCGTGTGTTGCAGTTTAAGGTAGGAACAGAGAGAAATGAGGCATCTGGATCATGTGGCTTTCATTGGTTAGCTTTGCCAGAGAGCAACTAGAGCTCCTGTTTTGTTAATTCACTTATGTAAAATTCCACATTACTATCACTGCCATTTTTTGTGGATGTGTATTATATGCAGTTAAAATCCATAGAAGTTTCTAAGGTCCTTTAACTATGTCAAAATGAAAAGTTAAGGAGTAAGTGTTTGACATAACAGGTTGGTGATTTGGATACCTGTTCCAGCTCCTCTGCTCTGATCCAGCTTCCTGTCAGTATGCATTCTGGGAGATAGCAGATGATGACTGAAGCACTTGGGTTTTTGCCATCCACATGGGAAAATTGAAAGTTTACAGCTCCTGGCTTTTGGCATGGTCTGTTGGCATTTAGGCAGTAAACCAGTGGAAAGAAGCTCTGTCTTTTCCTTTGCCTTTCAAATAAAATGAAAACGAAAACAAAAATAATAAAGGGTTCAGCGCCAGTGAAATCTAGATCCTTCTACTTTGCCCAAATGGAATAGCTTGTCAATATTCCTTGGCATCACTATTTTTCTCCTCTGCCTTTAATGGCAGAGGAGAATGGCCTTTAATAAATATTTGGTGAGTGGTTTTGCAAGAATAAAAGTTCCCTTTTATCTTTGATGCTTATTTTATACCTTTACTTTGTTGTATAAAGCTGTTCTATATCTATTCTTTACTGATGACCTTCATGCTTAATTTACTGAGTAAGCTGAAGTGATCGGACAAGAACTTCTATAGTGTGTCTTGTGGCCTGTTGAGCTAGATGAAGTTTTCATTTCCTTATCCTTCTTTTTATAAGATCACATTTCTTTTCAGCTTCTCAAGGAGATTTTTTATATGCTTTTCTTTTCTGCTACCATTCCAAGAGGCATACAAATACATCATTCCATCTTTGTTTGTTAACAAATTATTTTTATTTGATATGCAGATTTTACAAAAGAGAGACGGAGGGTGGAGAGAGAAAGTCTTCCATCTGCTGATTCACACCCCTTCCAACCTCCTGCAGCAAATGGCTGCAATGTCTGGAACTGTGCCTATTTGAAGCCAGGAGCCAGGAGCTCCTTCTGGGTCTTCCACATGAGTGAAGGGTCCCAAGGACTTGAGCCATCCTCCACTGCTTTCCCACAAATAACAGAAAGATGAGTTGGAAGTGAAGCAGCTTGGACACTAACTGGCACATATGAGATGCCAGTGCCACAGGGCAGAGTATGAACATGCTACACCTTAATGCCAGCCATACATTCTTCCATCTTATAAAAACTTTCCCTTGATCATTTCTCTATTACTAGTTACCCCTCCTTATATTTGCCTTTCTTTGAATCAAGGTACCTAACAATAATTTTGTTAAAAACACCCTGTTTCTGGTAGCTGACCTTTCAAATTCTTTCCTTTTAATTTTTAAAAAAATTTAAAAAATTTGTAGTATTTTTCATGAAGCAGTTTTATAGGTATAGGATTCTCTCTTCCACCTCCATTTCCTCCCTCCACTCTGTACCCCCTATAGTGTTTTCTCTCATATTATTACAATACTATAATTCCTCAACAGTACTCACATATCTGACCTTGAGTTATTTAAGTGTATTATGACTTTGTAGGTTTAGGCAATGATAGAGAGTCTAGTACCCTATTGTTAAGATATATTCAACAATTTCTTTAGGAGTCCTCCTTTATTAGGGAGTAGAGATGCATACTGCACTGTATCATTACTTCTCACTATGCTAGTTTCCATTCTACAGCACATCTATAAGAGTATATACTTGATTACCTATATATCTATTGACCTTGTATTTTGCATGAAGTTTGGCTTATAGCAGAGAGAACATATATGATATTTGTCCTTTTGGGATTGGCTTATTTCACTGAGCCTAATAGTCTCTACTTGGGACCTTTATTTGCAAATGGAAGCATTTAATTCTTTTTAGTGGCTGCTTAGTCTTCCATGGAAGGGATTTATCACAGGTTTTTTATGTTCATTCCTCTTTTGGCAGGTATCTGGGTTATTTTCTTATCTTCATTATTACAGATTGTGCTTCTCTTAATGTAAGATTGCAGGTCATTTTCTCATATGCAGATATTATTTCCTTTGGATATGTTACCAGGAGTGGGCTAGCTGGGTTGTATGATAGATCAAAGTTCACTTTTCTTTATTTGCACACATACCATTAGTGTGTTTGTAATGATGAGCAAAAGTTTCTTGGTGTTCTCAAATTTTCAATTTGTTTTCAACATTTGGAATGACTTAAAACTTTGTACACCGTTTTTATTTTGTGGTCTGATTATTAAGTGTGCTATTTTATCAGAAAAGTTTTTTCTTTAAACCTGTTATTAAATACTTATTACATACATGAATGTGAGTTGTAGCATATGACTCAGTACCACATTTTTTCTAATGTGAATTTTCCTTCCATTGAAGTTTATTATAGTAAGAAAATGTTAGTCAGATGTTATCATAATGTGTTATACTTTTATTTGTCTAGTTTATGTTTTTATATTACATACTCAAACATAAATTTATATTTATTTAGACATGAAAATATATTTATACTCAGAAGGAATGCTGGATCAAATAGTAGTTCTATTATACTTTAAAGAAAGCCTCATATTTTTTACAATAGCTCTTCTAATTTTCATTCTTACCAATAGTGCAGAATAATTTCCTGTTTTCTGCTTTCACCAATATTTCTAGTTTTTGGACAATAACAATTATGAAGTGATATTTCATGGTTTTAATTTGCATTATGTTAAGTGAAGTCGCATAAAGGAAAAAATACCATGTACTTTGACTTATTTAGAGAATCTTAAAAAATTAATTTTATTGAAGTAGAGGGTAAAATGATGGCCAAAGGATAGAACTACCATTATGTTGGAATAATACCTTCAAGAGCTGGATTGTACACGGTGAATGTGCTTACACTTGATCTTAGCCAAAAGGCCAAGAAACGATGTTGAATGTGGTTAATATACTTAATTCTTGACAGTTACTGAAGACCAAGAGGTAATGTGTGCTAACTACAACATAATTATGCATGATAGATTTAAGCATTCATATGTTAGTATGTAGTTTAAAACATCATGGTGTCAGTAGTACATATAATTAATATATTCTTGAAATTTTCAGAGAACCTAGTTCTGTGATTCTTGCTATAAACATAACTAGATCAAGTCATGCACATATATATAGTTTAAAGCATTGTACATAGTAAAAATACATTTGATCAAGTAAACATTTATAGTTTAGATCAGTGTATACTATTCTATAAAAAAGATGGTAATGCAATAAGTATACGATATTTGGAGAAATTTTATTTGTCACATGTACTTAAATAGCAGAATGATGGATCTGTGACTGTTTATGAAAAACTATACTGTTGTAATAATATAGGGGAAATCAGTGACGGGGAGGAGAATGAGGAGGATAGGAAGGAAAATCCCTGAGCCTATGGAACTGTATCATAAAAAAATTTAAAAATTAAAAAAAAAATTTTATTAAAAGTACCAACCAAATGACTTACAGAAAAATCTTTTAAGGTGTGTTCTTTCTTTTTAAAGTCCATTCCTACATTAAATAGATTATATATTATACTTAGCTTGACCACACATGTTTTATAAAAAATGGCTTGTATAATAAATGAGCATAATTTTAATTTGTCATGCACTGATGGCCTAGGTCTGAAACTAACAGTTTGTTTTTTTTCTGTCATTTTTGAGACAGTGCCACAAAGTAGGTCACATCATTATACCCCATTTTGCGATAAGGAAATTGAAGTTTAGAGAGAGCCTAAGAAAATTGATTTATTACCTTGTCCCACCTATTAAGGGCTGAGCTGTAACATACATTCATAAAAACTTAACAAATTGGCATGTTTATAACATTTGCTTTTCATCTTGTTTCACTT